GAGATCTTCAACATCTACACTAATAATTCAGAAACTAATGCAATAAGAACAGTGACCAACACTCTGTTTTATGGACGTGAATACGCACACACGCAAGCAGGCAGGCGTGCGCAGACACGCACGCACACATTGCGTGCGGTCTCATCAGACACATGTTCCACACACAACCACGCGCGCACAGCGCAGCGCGGCGTACGCGCACGGATAGCACACATATTCCACTAAACGCACCACGCACGACCACACGCACTGAGCGCAAAACACGTCAACTAAACTGCAACCGGCACGTCACACACACTTGCGGTGCGGCTCCACACAGCGGCCGCGTAATATGTAGCACACACGAGCAACAGCAACCCCACCTAAAACCCACACACGCACGCACACGCACACGCACACGCACACGCACACGCACACGCACACGCACACACACGTACACGCACGCACGCACACACACACATACACCTTAAAGCATAAACCAATATCCAACACACACAGCACAAACACGCCAACCCACACACCTTAAACATTCTAGCAAAATGCAAAGCTACACAGCTTAAACGTTGAACCAAGGACAACTGTGACTAAATACAATTAAGATGCTCAACTTTTCAAAAGAAATGCGTTTGATAGACAGTAAACATTACACAGCACTGAAATAACGAGAGAAACAATGAGAGTTACCAACTGCAGGAGAAGACAGGTAAATGGAGACATGTAGAAAAGGTTAATAAGGTTAAATGGACGTAAGGAATTGACATGCGTTGTGACATGTGATGGAGTACCAGAAAGGGAGGAGTAAAGACGAAGACCAGGATGAAGAAATAGATGCTTGAAAAGGCAGAGACTCACCATCAGGCAGGTGCCTGTTGTTTGTGTTGTGACATGCTTGGAGGAATGTGTCATCCTTCCAACCATTACCTGTAGCTTCTGTAGTTGTGATAACAATGACCTGAGGACAATTACTACAATATTAGCAGGTTGCTTGCAACTGCACTAGCATGGTAATAACCATGTCACTGTGATTATTAATTGATTATAAAACTAACATGCAAAAGTAGTTTTAAAACGCTTGATGGCCTAGGGAAATCGCCAAAACAAATGAGGCACCTGCCTTGGTCTTCCCAATGCAAGGAAACACTGAATTAGGCCAGCACATGCACCAACTCACTTACTGGTTATTGTGTTCTAAGGATTCAACTTTCTTTCTCAGTTCCAGATTCTCTGAAGAGAACGTCTCGCACTTGGACTCCAGATTGTCGACATACTCTTTCTTTTTCCGCCTGCTCTCCTGAGCTGAGATCTGAGAATAGGCAGAATTGAATAAATTGCACGAAAATCATTCATCGTTGTAACTCTTTGAAATGTCACCATCGGTGGTGTTCATGGCACTGTTGTATATAATGTACACACGATTGTAACAACACGAACCTAAGTAATGGACTTCAAGTTAGAAGTTGTCAGAGATGGCTATAACTACTTCACTAGGGTGGAATCAGTAAGGCAAATTTTTTTTATTTTGTTGGTTTACAGATCCGCCGACCCGAATTTTCAAGAAAAACGAAAAAAAATAAAAATTGAAAATCTTTTTTTTTTATTCCCGTTGACCTTTTCTCTAAGAAATATGAATAAAAAAAATTTAAATGTAAAAAACAAAAACATTTAATAAACAAACAGTTTATAATAAAAGTAAAAATAATTACAAGTTGAGTTTTGTTTTCATTTAGTTTTCTTAAAATACTTTAATATTATGTATAACAGTATCACTGTATTTTGACTTGTTTGATCTGACAAAACAACAATTTTTTACCCTACCGAGTCAACAACAGCAACAAAAATTCTGTAAACCAACAAAATAAAAAATGGTGGCCTAAGGATAATACTATTGGCGTTAACACCAGAGATACACTGCAAGCCATTTGAGATCCTTACAAACTTGAGACTATTGCCATCACCCTTGCTATCACCTTGTTCTTAATCTTCCTACGGATCTTTTTCAGAGAACGTTCCTCCCCCTTGTTGAGAGGTAGCCGTGTGGGCACTGGATACCCTTCCTGCACCAGTGTCCTCTTCTCCTCCGCAGAGAGGTAGAGAGGGCCAGATGCCGGAAGATTCTGAATAAAGTAATTACCTTGATATAAAGCACAGCAAGTGGCAAACAACTACACATAAACATGCACAGGCAAATAATGCCAATTATATTCAATAGTAATCTTAATTTGTCCAAATAAATCACAATAGAATACACTTCTATTATAATCACAGATAGGTGCACACAATGAACGTGCAAATAGAATTCAAGCCATGCTACCGCCGATTGTAACAAAGTAAAATAACAATGCCATTAACTGACCCCTTTTCACTTTCCATCCCCCCTTCTAAATTTCACACCATATTCTCAAAAACTTGCAGGCTGGAAAGCACAGAATACAAAAATGGTCTTGTCGTTTGCAGCAAACAGGCTATGTACAGTTGAAGAATAGGAGAAAGCATGGTGATC